CTCCTCTTCTTCCTCTTCTGACAGCTGCCCGAACTTTTGGGCTCGGTTCGGTCCGACAGACACTCCTCATCTGCGGAGCGACACAAACAGAACTCACTGAACCGTTCGGAACCAGAACCTCTGGGTCAGAACCACATGATGAAAATGGAGAGGAGCTGAAGGTCATGGCAGAACCGGACCGGACCGGACCGGACCGAACCGAACCGGACCGGACCGGACCGGACCGGACCGAACCGGACCGGACAGATGACTTTATTAATTAGTTTACAGGAAGAAAAGCCACAGTCCGGGTCAGGTTCTGGTTCTGGTTCGATCCAGGTGGAAATATTTAAATGACAGATTATTAAACTTAATCTGAATGACTCCAGAACTGAGACCCGGTTCTGGATCCGGTTCTGGACGTACCGGAGTATGTTTCCCTCTGGACCTCCAGGTTCTGCAGGTACTGAGTGTCGGTTCGGTTCTGCAGCAGCGGCAGGTGGCCCGGCAGGAAGCAGGGGGTTCCGGGGGGCTGCTGGGCCGCCAGGCTGCACAGGAAGCCCAGTCCGAGCGGAACCGAACCGCCCTGAAAGGAGAACGCGCCCAGTCCACCGGCGGGCCCCTGCGGCTCCGAACCGGAACCCGCGGGCGCCAAGCCCGAACCCGGAGCCCCGCCGGGCTGCTGCCGGACCTGCAGGTCCGGGTCCAGGCCCAGCAGGTCCGTGATCGCAAAGCCTTTGGACCGGAACCCGGAGCCGTGCAGGCGGGACTTCTCGAGTCCGAACCCCGGAGAGAACATCCTGACCCGAAACTTCTCCTCTGACCCGGTCATCCTGCTGCTCAGAACCGAACCGGACCGGACCCTCCGAGTCCGTTTTATAAGGCCCAACTCCGGTCAGAGCAGCAGCCAATCAGTGGACTGAGCGCGCGTGGGGCGGGGCTTAATCCCGCCAGATTAATTCGACCAATTTCCTCTGGATCCGGATTAAACGTGCAGAGGAGGATCAAACAGTAAATTATTAGTTTATTTAAATAAAATGAACAAAAACAGGTCAAATTTAAACTAAATCAACTTTTATTGTTTTCAGTCAG